AGCTGGAGAATTCATCTTAAACTTCTTAAATTTAAAGGAGAGAAAAGCACGTGTAGTAAGCAAATTAATATAACAAAGGCTTTACGCCTGTGAGCACTTGTGCATGTGCTTTAATTTAATTTCAATGGTTGTTTCCACTGAAACAGATGTAAGTATTAGAGTAAACTTAAACTTGTGTGTGAACTTGCAAAAAGAAGAGGCAGGAAGAATGTTAAGGAAGAAAGTCTAATCATTAAAGAAGAAACGCTTTGCAGAGGTGAAAGAAAGCTGGTTCTTAGAGATAAAAACTTTAAAAAGATTAAAGAACAACATCTCTCAAAGTAAAGAAAACCTGATATGGAAGGAAGAACAAACAAGGATTCACATACGCAAAGGTGCCAACATGCTGCCTCTGCCTAGAGGAGCAATTGTGCTGTTGTAGGCACCCTCCTAAGTGTCTTCTGCCACGTGCCCTGCAGTATCAAAGCTCAAACTGGTTTTTTTTAATAGCACAGAATTTTTTTGGCAAACTGCAATGGGTTTTTAAATGGGTGGTAATATCCTATTACTTAGATTTGTTAACTCAAAGTATTGTTTATTTATGTCGAGTTGGAAGAGAATAGTTTTGAAACAGATCTGTCCTGATTCTGTCCTCAGTGCAGAATGAATGAAGGTCGTTGATGCTTTAGTTTTCAGGTGTTAGAAACCTGGGCTATGCTTCAGGCAGTTTTGGAGACAGACAGGGAAAAGGAAGTTCTTGATTAAAGGTTGTTAGTTTTTATGCACACACAAGGTTTAAGTGTGGTGTGTGACTCTGTGAGCGCTCAGTGGGCAGGGATCAATGGTGTAGCAGTTGGGTAAAAATTAGATGCAGAGTGAGGAAGATCACAAATAAGTGTAAGTTGGCAATGTCATTCTCTTGTCAAGGAAACTGTGCCCTCTTGTTAGATTTTGCTTTGTTAACGTTAGGTTTTGTACCTGAAAAAATGTATTCAATCAAAAAATGCAGAGGGGCTTCAGACTCAGTGACCTCTACAGGAGGTTCAGAAGTCAAGGGGGAAAAAAGAGAAAACTGTTCCTCACTTGAAAAAAAAAAAAAAATGTATATTTGGTGTTTGTTTCTTTTTTTGTCTGGCATAAAGAAGCCCAAAAGTGAAGCTGAAGACTGTATAAAGGGTCTATGCACACAGAAATAATGGCTTATTGGGAAATGGTGGATTTAAACTGCATCAAAAAACCATAAGCTTGGATTTAGAGAAAAATGTACAGTGGTAAAGGAAGTTTGCTGCTTGAATGCATCTTGAGGAATATGAACATTTCTATTGTTGAGCTTAAAACAATCATGCAAAACAGTCCATCCATAATTTGTCAGGAAGTGATGTAAGTTGATTCTTACATGGTATAGAAAATGAAGCTTTCATAGTCCCCTCCTCCCCCTTTTCCTTGTACTGGAAAGACTGAAGAACATTTGGGTCTTTGCTGTATCTCTCCTGGCTGCATATGCACATGTATGTCTGTATGCGTACGTACATTTAATAAATGTGACAGCATTTTTGTTCACTAATTCATCCTGCTGTAATGCATTGAAGATGCTTGCAGTCTAACTAAAGAGAGCATGCCCCTCAAGGGAGTAATGGAGAAGCATGCTAAAGGTGAACTTCATGGTTTTTGAGCAGCAAGAGGAACGATAGAGGCGGTTTGGAGCATGCTCTTTAGCAGAAGTCTGAATCATAGAATTGTATGTTCCATGTTGGAAGGGACCCTCAAGGATCATGGAGTCCAGCTCCAGGCTCCACACAGCTGCGCCCAAAATCAAACCCAATGTCCGAAAGCTTCTGCATGCTCCATGAACTCCAGCACTCGGGGCTGTGCCCACAGTCCCGTGCATCCTGTTCCATGCCCACCGCCCCCCGGTGCAGACCCTGTCCCTTAACCCCCAGCTGCTCCTCCCCTGACAGCTCCATGCCGTTCCCTCGGGTCCTGTCTCTGTCACACAGAGCAGAGCTCAGCGCTGCCCCTGTGCTCCCAGTGAGGAGCTGCAGCCACCGTCAGGCCTCCCCTCAGCTCCTCTGCTCTGGGCTGAGCACACCCAGGGACTTCTGTGGCTTCTCATGCATCATATTGTGTCCTTCACACCCTTCAGCATCTTCGTAGCCATTCTTTGATTGCTCCCCAGTAGCATTATTGAATTGTTTGGCTTGGAAGGGACCTTGAAGATCATCTAGTTCCGCTCCCTTTGCTGTGGGTTTGAATAATTTGATGACTTTTTGAAGTGTGAGAGCCATACTGCAGGCACTCTCGCAAAGCAGCAGTGTTTCAAGAGAGGACACACTGCCTACCAGCAACGCTGTACAAACCGTCCTTAGATTGACAGGATTTGGCCTTCTGTTTAAAAAGTCAGCAGTCTAAACATGTTGATGCATCTGAACACTTTGGCCAGGTGTGCGCCACCTGTATTTTCACTGAGTTCCCTGCATGATTGGTAAGAAAATGAGATATTCTCAGATGTTCACCTAGAATTGGGTGCCTTCTGTTATGTTTGTTGTTCTTCAGCTGTGCACAGCAGTATTTCTAAAAGTAGGTGGCATGAAACTGAGCCTTCGTGAACCAATTCAAAACATAAATGCTTATAGACTATCTCAGATCTTTTGTGCTTCATTTACAAGGCAATGCTAAGTTTTCACAAATACAAATTAAATGAGCTTGGAGTTTTGTGCAGGGCCCTTTATTACATTTGGCTGTATTGTACTACGCTTTGAACTTCGCCTTTTGTCGTGGTGATCTTCAGCCTATAAACTTAAAGCTCCGCTGTACTTTGCAAAACAGGATGTTGTCAAATGGGGGAGAGAATATGCAAAAAAAAAGAAACAAAAAAAACAGAAAACATAAAACTTACAGTAGCCTGGTGTGTTGAAACAGACATTAAGTATACACTTACTGTTTTAGTCATTTTGCAACCTCGGTGCATCACGATGATACTGTATTTTAAATGGCAAAATTTTCTAGTGAGCTGTGTGGGCAGTGAGTTGTTTAAGTCAGTAATAGCTCGAGGTATATGTGCTTCGTTGTGATTTTTTTTTCCTCCCTGTGCCAGTGAATTGTGACAACAATTTTTCTACTCATCTCTTATCAACAAACTGTTCAGCTAGGTTCTTTCTAACAAGGTAGACGTCAAATATGAAGTTGTTGTTTTTTAAAAAAAAATCCATATTTGGATGAACTGATCTGTCTCTGGAAATCCGCATTTCCACAGAGGTCACGATGTAGATCACATGAGATGCTGTGCTGATGGCCCTGACAGTACTGATCGGTTTGCTCTGATGCTGAGATAATGCATGCTTTTCTTTTTTTTTTTAAATGTAAACTTAAAGTACAGTGAACTCACCTCGCTGTGACTCAGGATCAAGGTTTGAAGGTTTTCAGCCATTCGATTTTGTGGGTCTAACAGTGAACTGTTAGGCATATATCTGGCACAGAGAAATTTAATAATGGAAGTAGCATGGAGGCTGTAGGACCTATGTAAGGTTGAAAGCTAGATCTCTTGACAATGAATATCTCATATATTCTTTTCTGGCAGCTTTCCTATTAGGCAAGCAAATATCCTGTGGTGTCTCTGATCTCTGTCCAGTCCTCTGGATAGGGTTTGTTGAAGACTGTTTTGTAGCATGTCTTAAGCTGACGCTCCAGGTCCCGCATGGCTTGTTTCCGTGACTGCTCAAAGGGTAGGCAGTCACCACACCCAAAATAATACTCCCACAAAGAGTTTGGTGTATGAATAGTTGCAACTGCTCAAATAGTTACGCTGCTGCAAGTACGCTGTCTTGATTAATTGTTATCTTGATCAATTAAGAATGACATCACTGGTTTATAGTTACTTCTTGAATGCTGCTTAGAAGGTAGATAACTCGTTTAGTAAGTAGATAACTCAGTTCAGTTAGCTTAATTTTGCTGCAGTTTATTCGGAGCTGCATAACATACTTTCTGCGTGTAATTATTTACTCTGACTAGTAGTATTAAGCACGTTGTATACTTCTCCCTGTGATCTGTCAGACTGACAAAATAGATGTTAAAAGTAGGTGTAGCAGAAACACAACAGGAATTTATGAGACAGAATAAACCAGATGATATCGTTGTTTAGCTCATGTTCTTTTTCTGTTTTTCTCCCTATACTGCTTATTTGCATTTCTCCATTGAACTTGTTTTGTTTTGTTTTTAGAAGAGTGAAAAGATGCAATTGTTGTGTGGTGTTTTTGCTTTTTCCTTTCTTCAGTTGTGAATGTCATCCTCCTGTGTTTTATTAGGGAAAAAAAAAAAACCAACCTCAGTAGCAGTGGATCTGTGGAGTAAAACGTGTGGTGCCCAGGTCCACATGCAGGTTAGGAAGGTTCTTCTTTTAGCAAGCTATCATCTGCCTCTGTGGGCTACATTCCTGCTGGCAGATGAATGGGATGTGTGCTTCTGGAATGTATCTTCCAGCTTGCTTTCACCTAGGGGAAGTCTAGTCTACATTCACAGTACTGCTTGCCAGTATGGACCACAGCAGATTGAGTAGTAATATTTGCTTTTCCAACCCTCTCAGTGACTTACTTGTAAAAACTGTTATGAAAGTTTATTTCAGAGAAGTTATTTCTATTTGCTATGTTTTTCTATCACTGTCCACAACATGTTGCCTTGCTTCTTTTCCATTAGTTTCATTTTCATTAAATAACCTCTTCAGAATTCAGTTTATATATGAACATTTGTGAGGAGGACCTTCATTGCAACTTTAATGAACTACATCCTTCTCTGTCACTCTAAACCAGAAATACAAAATTACTTCTCTTCCTTGAATATGTAAAAAAAAAAACCAAAAAAAACCAACAAAGCAGCCTGCTTTTTGTTGAGCATAATTTTGAAAAGTGCAATAGGCATGAGTATCAGTTTATTTTAAACACTGTTACATCGAGTAGAAGTTTCCCAGAAACAGTCATTACATTTTAGGATACCTTATTTTTAAAATTCTTTTTTCCATCTGTTTGCAGGTGTATTTGTCAGGCTTTACATCAGAAGATCTGTGTTTTGGTGACTCACCAGTTGCAATATCTCCGTGCTGCAACTCAGATTCTAATATTAAAAGATGTAGGTGATAATAGTGTCTATATATTTATAGCTTTCTAATCGTCTTTTATAATCTAAGAAAGGAAAAAAAAAAGTTCACATCTCATTTTTTATTTGTAAATGCATTTTCTGTTCACTGACTGTGTGTGTTTTTTAAGATAAATAGTTACTAATAGCAGTTTTTTAGAACAACTTGCCTGTTACATCTTGCTTCTGAATTTTGTTATACCTATATATAATTTCACATGTGAATTCTGTCTTACATATATATGTAATATATTGTGAAAGAATTATTTCTTTTGAGACAGAGTTAATGCTTTGCTTTTATTCTTGTTTTTTACACTGTTGTGTGAATTAAGGGCTGTGTTGGTTTTGCAGCCAATCGCCTTTTTAAATTCAGACTGAGAAACAGGCACAGATACCTTTGAGAACAAGCAGTCCTTCAGAGAAACTGGTTTCTTCCAGACTTTCTTGTACCATTTGTTCACATGTAGAGAGGAAATGCAACAACTTGAGATGTTTTTTTAAGGTTGAGTGATGAAGTACTTCAAATTACTTTTGATGCATCACAGAGTTGCAAGAAAGTGTGTTACCTGCCTTTTTCCTCCTTCAGATCTCTTTAAATGTTGCATTAGTGTGCTAGGGATGAGTTTGTGACAGATAGAAGAAACAGCACACACTAGGAAAAAATCTGGAGTAGACATGACTGATGGTCATGAATGTAGTTCAGTAAGCATGTGCTAAAGCTGCATGGCTGTCCTCTGCAGCTTCTCCAGAGAGGTAAGTCTCACCTGGCTGTAACTGGGACTTTTGCTGTCCCCCATCTGTGTTATTTGGCCTCACAAACTGTCAGAATAGGATTGCTCAGAGAGTGAAGAGCTTGTTACTGCACTTTGGAATGATGAATTGAGAGAGGCTTCACTTCATTTACTGCAGTGGGTTGTATGCTTAGCAACAGCAGAACTCTAGAAGCAGCAGGGATAGGTGAAAACATTGTTACGGAAAAGGTACAATGAAGATAATAAAACTTGTATTAATTGTAGGGTAAAATGGTGGGAAAAGGGACCTATTCAGAGTTCCTGAGGTCTGGCATCGACTTTGCTTCCCTTCTGAAAAAAGAGGAGGAGGCAGAACAGCCGTCAGTTCCAGGCACCCCAAACCTGAAGTCGTCCCGGAGCCGTACCTTTTCAGAGTCCTCTGTCTGGTCCCAGGATTCTTCTGTCCACTCAGTGAAAGATGGAGCAGTGGAGCAACCACCTGTGAGTACTCAGAGAACAGAAACATCACAATTCTTGTCTGGCTGTGTGTGTTTGTTTTTGTTTGTTTGTTTTCAACTCAGACTATGAGGAAGGCTCTTTCCTGACTGCCTTTGAATTTCAGTGAGTGTTGGCTTCCATTAGCAGGTGAGAGCTCACTTGTGGCTGCCCAAAACTGGTAGTCCTACCACCTAAGCTGCAAAGGGCAGGCATCCAACAGCTCTGTGCAGCTCTCCTCAACAGTTTGATCAGATTCATCAGTGGCTCTGCCGAGTTTCCAAAAGAGTTGTACTCTGGTATTTCCTGTCCTCTGACAGTGGTACTTTAAAGGATCAATAATACTGTGTTGAGTGGGTTTTATGTGTTTGTACAGTGCTGAGGTCAGATTAATAATTTCCTTGAAATCATAAGCTTGGGAAATGCATGCAGAATATGTAGCAGTGGCTTCCTACAAAATCTTCATTTGCATGGCTGGTATTATCATCCCCACATGATCATGAGCTGGCCCTGAGGGAAGAACCTTGGGATGCTGTTGCACAGCTCTCCCCAGCTCTTCTGGTATCGAAAAAAGAATGCTTTTATGGTGCCAGCTTGACTTCCATATGCCTTGTTATCTCTTGGTCTACACCGTGCAAAAGCAGCTGTAATGTTTTCTGTACCAGAGGTGGCCTTGTGATGGTGTGTTTGCATTCACACAAAACAGTGCAGGAGTCCTGTAGCCCTGCTAAGCTTATGCTAGCATACATCCATGGAACAGGTAATCTCTATATGTCCTTGAATCTTTTCATCTTTATACTATGCATGTACATGATACATTTTTCTATAATAGAAAGCAGTTAGAGCTGCTAAACCCAATCCCCACCCTCCCCAAAAAAGGGCTGCAAATATTTACTTTTCATATCTTTTTGGAAGAATGTTTTTATGCCAAAAAGCAGTGAACTTCGTATCTGATATTATTCATTTGTCAGCAATAACTGCTGTAAGATCCACAAACATGCCAAACTTCTTAGCAGTATTAGAGCTGTTGGGTTGAGAGGGGAAAGAAAAAAAAAAGAACAACAAGCAAAACAAATGACTCCCCAAAAAACAAGATAGGCTTCTCTTACAGGCAAGTTACTGGGGTTTCTCTTCACTTCTGAATCAGATCTGTTCATTCCTCTGCTTCTGTACAGCTATGTCTGCTGATAACAACACCAAATGTTATATGTGCATTGATCTAACACCTGGTTTTCTATCACATAAGAGTAACCCCCTTGCCGCCCGCCCCGCCCCCAAAAAAAGAAAAAAACAAAAAAAACCAGAATGTTGTTCATTTGGATAATAGATCTGTTTTATGTCTTATTTTTTTTACTTTTCTCTCTTTTATTGTTCCCTATCCGTGGGTCATTTTACTGGTTTTTCCCAATTAACAGATGCTTTGATTAGAAGTTTGTTAATTCTTTTTTTTACTGTCAGCATATGTTGACTGATTTCTGATTCAGACTTGCAGAAGATTGTTTACTTTAAATACTTCTCTGAAAAGGCAGGATTATACACACTTGGATACTGAAAACAGAGACTTTTCTATGTTAAGACCTTGGTTTTGAGAGCCGTGATGATTGATGCTAGTGCATAAGAAAAAGAAAAATCTGGTGCAGCAGTTAGCAGTGCTGGCAGTTGGAGCAAATATTTCTGACTGCAAATGAACTCGTGTTACATGGCATGATGCAATGCAAAATATAATCCTGCCAGTGTCATTTTGCAGAGTAGATTTTTCAGTGTTACTGCAATGAGACTAATTTTTTTTGTGAAAGCTATGGTTCTCATACTTAAAGTTTTTGTGTGTGTAATCGCTTTATCTTATTATTTAATTGTTTGCTGATTTTGAACCATGTCTTTCAAGTAGCTTAGTCTGAATCTATAGCTGCCAGGTTAATGTTTTGGTTTTTGTTTTCCAGGCTGAAAATCCACTGGCTGCTGTGTCAGAGGAGAGTCGTTCTGAGGGAAAAATAAACTTCAAAGTTTACAGAAAATATTTCACTGCAGGAGCGAACTACTTTGTGATTTTTATACTTGTATTATTTAATATTTTGGCACAGGTAAGGCACAGGCAGTAAAAAATAATAATAACAAATAATGTTGGTTTTGCCATTTTTTGACGTAGTGTATGCTTACGACTGTGATGTTGCAATGAAAATATTTAGGAACATGGCTTTCTTACGTCTAATAAGTTGATCAAGTATGGAGTTTTTATACTGCATTGAGATATTATGCACTGATCCTTATTCCAGCAGTTGTAACACTTAAATAAAATCATATTTCCACTGACAGTGCAGCACACAAATTAGAAGCCAGTTTCGTTTTTTGGAGACGCAAAACAAAATCTTAAGGTGTATTAAATAGCATTTAGCAAATCTGAAAAAATATTTCCTTCTCCATCTGGAAGCATAAAGAGCTTGATGGGGTATGGAGGAAGGATTACAGAATTGTTAAAAGAAAAGCTCTTCTGCTGGTAAACACAGGTTAAGAAAAAGGCTTGAAGAGTCACTGTTTAGAAGAAGAAGAAAGTGAAATATTGTGTGATGCAGACTGTAACAGATACATAAAAGAATTCTTAGAGAAGGAAAATTATTTTTAAAACTTACTGAAAGAAATGATGAGCTGAGAAGGCTCTGTGAAGACAGCCTATTGCCCTTCTCTTTATTTCCTGCTGAGAAAGCTCAAATTCATTTCATGGAAATGATTGGTCTTGGCTGTAAAAAGTAGTATGTATATTTATACACGTTACATCCTTTTTGCTTATCCTTAAATTGAGTCTGTTGGAAAGGAGGACAACTAAGCAGGATCTCTGCAGCAGGCTTTAATTCACGTGAACAGAGGCATATTTTGAGATAAGTAGCCCTTTTACAGGTTTATAGTCACCTCTTGACACAGAAGGAAAATGGTGGTAAAAGTTTTTCCCTCCCTCTCCTCTCTCATCCTCTTTCAATTCTGTTTCTGGTAATTATCTCCTGTAAACACAAATTTCTGGACTGGTAACATCAGAAAGTTTGTTAATCAAAAAGCATTTTGAAATATCTGTAGTGGCAAATTTAGGAACTGAAAATATGTCTTCTTTAATGTGCAATTAACATATGTTAGGAAGAGCTACTATGTTTTACTTGCCTAAGTGTCTTGCTTTCCTTTAGTTTACTAACAAGGAAGGTAATTTAAGGTAACTTCTTTCTTTGTAGACGGATCTCATAAATCTTCTAATGTGCTTTGCAAATTGCTGCTAATCTTGAAAGACTGGATGGCATACTTCTTTGAATATGTGTTGTTTTCCCAGAGAACATAAAAGAATAGCAAGGAAGTTAACTTTCTAATGTTTTTTTCATTTTGCAAAACGATTCCTGTATTTTCCTCTTTTATTCAAGGTGGCATATGTGCTCCAGGATTGGTGGCTTTCTTACTGGTAAGTTAATGGTGAAAACTGATCAGTTGGTCCTGTCTTTTCACTCAAGAGTTGTTTGTCAAATAGAAATCACTGTTGTATAGGTATGGGAAAAAAAAACTTGTTCTAGGAAACTTGATCTGCTTGATATTTTCTTATCTCTACTCATTCTGTGCATGGAAAAAAAATGAAACATTATGCTGTGGCTGTGATAGCTTCTTGTCATGGTGTGGTGCATGGCAGTACGTGGGATCTTTTGAACTGAAGGTTTCAATAGAGTTGCATCTAGAAACAGTTAAACATGCTCATGAATATTTGCAGAATGTGATTTGATGATTGTTATCTTCCGTATGCATTTCCACAGGGCAAATCATCAAGGAAAGCTGAATGTTACAACAAATGGAAATAATGGAGCAAATGAGACTGAGCATCTAGACCTTACCTTTTATTTGGGAATTTACGCAGGTAATGACACGTGTGCAGGTGTCTGTATACCTTAAAGATCTATTACTTAACCTACTATAATAAACAGTTTTGAATGGTGCAAAGCAATGGCAATGTGGGGAAATGTGATTTCTAGCAGGAACCGAGCAACATCCTAACAGATTTGGAGCTTCAGTCTTGCTTCCTTACTAAACTTACTGGAATTAATAAATAAGTAGATAAATACAACAGAAGAAATGGGTTGAATGCAGACTCTTCAATTTTTTTGCCTAGATTTTAGAAAGTAAAACATTCAGAAAGTAAGCTTATGGTTGTTGTCTCTATTAATAGATTACTCAGCTCTATCTTCTGTTGGGCAAGAGGGGTTTGAAACTGATACTCGTTCTGTAGTGTTATAAAACTTGGCATGGCAACATTACTTCTGAAGTGCCGTAGCAAAAGAACCAGTTTTTAAAAAGCCTTCCAGATGAGTATGCAAAGCCAAGTGTTAAAGACAAATTCAATATATATTCTACATATATATCTCAATATGTAATATAATATATGTAATAGTTATCCATATGCTTTTTAATATCCAGAAAAGGGAGCTAATCTTTGCGTTCAGACATCGAGACATCTTAAAATACTTGTCTGAAGTGTCAGTTTAAAAATTAATGTTGAAAAAGGATGCGTAGAAATATGCTCTCAGACTTTGCTATTTAGCACTTCTAGTGTTTCACAGTTTTGCATGGCACAGTAATTTCTTGATTGAGATATGAGTGATAGGACTGAGAAAACAGGTAGTATACCAAAAGAAAATTCTCTGAATTGAAACATCTCTCTTGCGTGAGAGGATAAGTGGAATCTATTTTTTTATTCTTTCTTTTTCTTTTTCTTTTTTTTTTTTTTGTGAGAATCCACATGATCTGAATGTTTGACTGAATACATTGTGCTTGGCCTGGGAAACAGCAGTGCAGGAGCCAGATAACTTGGCTTTTATTTTCTCTGTAATGTCTTATTTCATGCACCAATCAGTGGGCTGCACAGCATGATTAAGAATGTCAAACTTGGCTTTCTTTGACCATATAACCTAAATCAAATTGCAGAAAATTTTATCCTTTAAGGCAAATTTTGTTCTAGATAACAGAAAAGCGAAAGTTAACTTTGATATTGAAATGTTCAGATATATCAGTGGTACATTTGCAATGGTTAAAGAGAAAGCATTGTTACTTACATAAAATTGTAAGTTGAAAAACAGTTATATAAGGATAGTAAATTTCACATAAAACACATGATTAACTTTTTATGTACCCTCTGAAATGATGCAAAGTAATTAAACAATTTTTTAAATTGATCTCGATGTTTAAAAAAAATAATCACCATGTTAGCTCCTTCCTGGTCCATGTTTCAGTGGGATTAAGATTTAGAAGAATAAAATTTCTGTTAATGGGAATCCTCAGTGGTCAGAACTGAGGTGCCATGTCCATACCTTTTGTATGAAGTGAGTGTATCAGAAGACTCTGCCTCTCATGCTGAGGAGTTGTGCTTGTAAACATGGTGAGCAAAAACCTTCTGCCTGAGACAGACAGGAGGAAAGGCTTGGCAGTAGTGTTGTTCCTCCCTTTTTCCACCAGCCATTAGGTGTCCTCAGGTGATCAGTGCAGTGAGGGCCACACCAGCAACTTCAGTCAGCTCTGAAGACTGAATGAAGTTGTGCAGAAACATGGGGTTGCCAGGAGCACTTTCCTTCCCCATCCGTTTCTGCAGCCATCTACTTTTAGGCTATCACTCTGAAAGACATGGATAATGAGGTTCAAATTAACGCGTAATGTAATTTATTTGCCACTGAAAAACTTATTTTTGCCAATCCCATTTCTCTCCAGACTGTAGTGGGAGGAGCAATATTGCCTACAAAAGATGTCCGAGTAGTGTGTTTAGATTTCTGAAGGTGATGGGTTGAGCCAAAGCTCTGCCCAGGTGCCCCTTCTGCTCTCCCTTCTTGCCTGACCCGGGTTTCCTGGAGGAGCACGTGCATTTACTTTCAGAAGATAAGCTTTCTTCTGCCTGGAATATAGCTTTCTTCCTGGCATGGAATATAGCAGTCAGGACAAAGCAAACAAACTCTCACCCCACCCATGTGCATCTCCATCCAGAGCAATAAAGGACAAACAGAGTAGTTGTATTTGCATTCTAGAAGGATACATCTGTAAACAGGAGGTAACAATTGGCTGAATGACATCCTATCATGTAAAACCTCATTCAACCACTACACCGTAGCTGTACCTGAATTGTATCCAGGTTCTCCCTGTCCTTAGAACTGGTTATGTGTTGGGTTGATAGTTAAAGTCTAATTTAAGGTTGTCCTCAAGGCCTGAACATCTGGGCTTGTGGTGGCTGCATTCAGTTTCTGGAGCACATTGCCTGGAAGGCCTGCAGAACTGCCAAGTACAAGGTTAGCAACTGCTGTTCAGCTTTGGACTCTGCTCTTCATTGGCTGGAAACTTAGACAAGCACATTGCGGGCTACTTGCAGCAAACAGACCTACAGCAATCTCATCATTCTTTGTTTCCATCTTTTGCCTTGTAGCACCTCTGTCTTGCTTGGAAGAAAGACAAACAGTCTGCAAACCAATTCCCTAGAAGCACTCTACTCACACTGCATAAGGGATGCATCTTGTTCTGTTAGAGAAATATACATCATTTAAATGATTTGATGTGGTTTACAAGGGGAAGTATGGCACGAGTGGTTTGAACTGATTGAGAATAACTCAAGGTTGTTGCTAAATAGCCGTGTATATATATATTACTTGGTTAATACCTGCTGGCAAATGCTGAATGTTCACAGTGACCTCTGCAAACCACAATTATACATGGCACTGTGAAATGAATTTCTTGGCAAAACTGTTATGCAGAAGGTTATAATACAGATTTATTTAGTGGGTTAACAGACATTTCCTGCATTTCCATTAAGCAGTGATTCTTTTGAAGAGAAAAAGAGAAATTGTTTACATATGACTAACTACAGCTAGTGACAAATATCAGTTAGCTGCATTCTGTGCTTGGAGTCCCTTAGGCATATGTTTGGATTCTTGCTATATGCAGAAACCAACAGAATTATTTTGTTGTTCAATTTTATATTGAAATCCTTTGTGTGTGTGTGTGTGTGAGAAAGATGCATATCTGTATGCAGGCTCTGTCAATTTTTTTTTAATTTCAGGTTTAACGGTGGCTACAATACTGTTTGGCATAATAAGAAGTCTTCTGGTCTTTCAAGTTCTTGTTAATTCTGGTCAGACCTTGCACAACAAAATGTTTAAATCCATTTTGAAGGCTCCTGTCCTGTTTTTTGACAGAAATCCTATAGGTAAGTTTAATTGCCAAAAAACCCTTAACGTTTAATGTAACTAATTCGTTATGTTAAATATTCTATTTCTGAGCAGTTATGAATTGAAAGTAGTAGTTGTTTGGTTTTTTTTTACACACTTGTGGTTTCTGCTTCTTTTAATAAAAACCTATTCTGGTATTCTTAAATTTAGAAGTCAGAACGTTGACTGCTTATTGACAGTTGATCTTACTCCTTTCGAAACTGTGGTCTTGGTGTTGTTCATTGAACAGCTTGCTGCTAGTAGCACCAACTGCACCAGTTGCTGGTTGGTGCTGATCTGATTCAGATAGCAAAGATCTCTCTGTGACATCATGAACGTATATGCATGTGTTTTGTGGGGATGCCTTTCTTGTGCTTTTCTTTGAAAATTTGACCCCAGCCATCATTTGCCCTTTTTAGAAAGTAATTCTAAGCAAGTGTGGTAATTCACATTTGTTGAGAAACTGTGTAGTTTAATATCCTTCCAAAATGGACAATAGAATGCAATTTAAAACTGAAATGCAGATCCTTACACTCTTCAGAGGAAGGGGCAGGGAGAAAAGCTGGAGCAGAGTTAAGAGAGTTGGGGAAGTGGAGTGGTGCTGATTTAATGACCAGAAATCTGATGTGCCTTCTGGCCTTCATTCTCTTGAAGGAAAGGAATACAGGGTTGGTTTCATCTTTCCAGGGACTGTTTAATAACTGCCAGGGTGCATAGGGATCGCTTTGTTGTTTGAGAGAGAGTAGGAATATTTTCAGGAAACATAATTCATGTGTAGAAAAGGTTCACATCCATAGTATGATGAAAAAAACATATATAATTTCCCCCTTAAAAAAAAAAATCTACAGCTGCATGAGTTTAAGGCAGTTATATGGTCTGCTTGTACTCTGTGTCTGTGGCAATGAAAATTGAAGGCCGCCGCAAAGGGTTAGAAGTAAAGCAGTAAGCTCAGTAGAAAGCCAGTGAGAGCATATATGTCACAAGAAATTACAGTGCTAATGGGGTTTGTTGTCAGAAGTGCAGTGTTTATCCTCTTACCTTTTTGTATGCAGCGTGTGCACTAACTGTGTTTTTTGAGGAATACATAATCATCTTGTAAGAATGCCCAAAACCGTGGCTTATTGTAACAAATAAAGTCAGAGCTATAGACTAAACATCAGGGACAATGTAGAGTAATAAGAAATGGTTTGCTTTGTAACATACTGTGAAGCTCAAATTAGCAGTGCTTTGTAAGAGAGTGGCATTCATATAACCCGCCTATCGCTGGTATTCACATGCCATCATGACTTACTGATGTATGTTTCTATTTATCAGCGGATATTTTATAATAGAAGATTAACTTCAGTGTGTATAAATTTCTTTTCCTTCATCTTTCCTTTGGTCACGGTGGCGTTCAAAGGTGCAGATGTTCTGATCTGAACATCTTTTGGAAAAGGAAAAAGAAAAGGAAAAAGATGATGTTGGAGGCGTGATGTTCAGAACTGCAGCGAGTAGCAGTTCTGAAATTCTGTTTTCAATATCTTTGTTTCGCCACCTGATTGAGGTGGTTTTGTGGTTTTTTTTTTCTTGCGTATGTATCTTTTAGAATTTGCATTAGGGAAGGAAGCAAAAGCCTTTTTTTCTTTCCTTTTCTTTCCTTTTTTTTTTTTTTTATTTTTAATTTTAAAGATACTACACTATGAAATAGATACTGAAAAGAAGTGGAAATTACTAAATTACTAAAGCCTCTTTTTTCAGTGTTGTGATTGTAGCAATCAAGCCAAGCTATTAGTTAGCATATCTCACATTAGCAAAGGTGATACTGTAGCAACAGATCTATCATTTAAGCATCCAGTGTGTTTTCAGTATTTGTGTGAAGTCTCTGAAACATTTGCAGGATCAGTTGCAGAAGTGACTTTTGCTGTTTTATTTCTCCAGAAATAATCTCCAATTAAAAATGCTGGAGTCAGTATTTTGAACACACAGTGATCCGTTTTCAAAGTTGAGGAAGGAAGGAAATTAATAGACATCCCAAGCTTTTTGTGGTTCTGACTGGAGAAACAGACTGATGAGCAGCATCAGGGAGTCGACATTAGGAAATGGAAATATGTATTGAATCATGACATGTCTGTCAACTCCCAACAGTGTAGATCCAATCAGTTGTGGTGAATAAATGCAATGACTTATTTCTTTAAAAAAAAAAAAAAAAAAAAAAAAAAAGCTTTTTGGATCAGCTTAAGCATGAGACTAAGACCTCTGTTTACTCTCCTTATACATTACATCAGCAATGTATAGGGAGGTTTGTTAAAGGAATAGTAATGGGCGTCTCACTCAGACAATGGAGAATATAGGTGTATTTTTAGGAGCTTTGATTATAGAGCACAGATGGAAAAGAAGTATGAGGACCCCTCACCTTTCTATTTTCCCACTCAAAAATATATTTATCTACACAAATTTCACTTTTCTGTAATTTGGCATGGATCTAAAAGTACTTATACATTGCTGTTGTGATGGTATTTTGCATTAGGTGAACCTTGCTAATGCACAACTGTTTGTTTCTCAAAGAATTAAACCTATACAGGTGATAATCCAAAGTGACTGAAGCTTTATTGTGCTATCCCGAATTCAGAAAGAACAGATACTTATGACTGAAAGTTAAATTTATCAGTTGATACCTATATGGCACCAGTTAAAGAGCTGTAAGGAAGTTATCCATTATGTGGTTGTTTTTGTGAATTCATCACATCTGACTTCATTAACAGAAATTTCTTATTTACTCCTTTCAAGAAGTTGTCTCTTTCTTTAGAAACTTCCTTTCTTATTCTATCAGATCCCGTTAAGAGAGTTGCAGGCATGTCAAGATGTCTGTAAGGAGGAAAGTACGGCCATTCACACTGTGTAGGGTATGCTTTATGTATTGCTCTTTACATATCACTTACAGGAGTGAAGGAGTTGGTTTCTGTGCAGGTTTAGCACAAGAGGGCAGCATAATCTGTTTTATCCCAGCATAGCATTGCTAGAGCTTGTTAGGAGGCTAACAAAGTTTATGTTACAGTTTTAGAGTTGGCATTTGAGGAATGGATTTTCAACCTCTACACTGAACAGAAGTGGTTCTGTTTAATTATCCTCATTATCTGCAAGTGTAATATTTTCTCTTAATCTTTTACAGAGTAAACTTTTTCGCTATGTAACACTGAGTTCAGGAACCTAGTGGACAAAAGTCAGATAACTCTGTGGAGTTTTGGTCCAGTCAGTGAGGTTTTCAGCCATTATTCCTTACATTTCTTTCTCAATATGTATGAAATGTTTTAAAACAAGCATGATAGAAAGTGAAGTAAAAGAGACTCGAACCTCAGCTGCAATGACTGTTGAATTGGGTGTTCCCTCTTTTAAAATTAGTTTCTTATTGATAGTGTAGGAGATTCTGGCTTTGACAAGCTTTAGGATTTGATTCAAGATTACTTGCTTAGCTTGTAAAAAAAAATTGTTCTTTCCTGGGATTTGGGAACAGAGATTTCTTTAGAGAAGGAATGCTAATGTATAACTGCATCACTTTCAGTAATGGTAGTTTTAGTGGAGATTGTGTGCAATTTTGAACTGCATTGAGTTTAGGAAGCTGAAACCTGCTGCTGCTGTGCTGATGGGTGCTACAAGAATGAATGAGTGATATGCATGAATTTGTTCAGATAAAATAGAAATCTCTTCCCCCTCCTCTGTCTAAAATTCAAATTGAACGAGAACCATTACAGAGATGCATTTGAAAGTGAAGCTCTTTTTTTCTTTTTTCTTTTTTTTCCCTGTTTTTTTTAAATTTGTCTCTCCAGACCGTTGATTCTGACAGTTCATGCAGTGAGGAAAAATATTTCGGCAGGTATTACAGCATTCTGGTCTGTCTATAGACAGAAGATAATGAATTGTATGATTTGTCCTTTACCTGTTAAATTAGCAGCTTTCCCACTTCCCACCCTCAAATGCTTCACGGAAGCTGCATTGATCCCTTTTGGTTGCTTACTCAAACTTCAAGGTTTGACCAAGGTTATGTTCTTCTGTCGTGGCTTCAAGAAACGATGTGCCAAACTGATAGCTAAGAGCAGCGTATAAAGCAAACTCCAACTATTAAAAGATAAAAATGTGAAAGAAAGCTGATTTTATAATGAAGAGTTTGTTTTTCTTTAAGGCATAAGGATTTTAATTATGGTGTTCATAAATCATGTGTTGAAACATCTATAATTTGACAGAGAAAGTTTCTTTATAGGATTAAAAGCTTGTTTGTCAGTGCACAAGTGTCTATCTGCATTTTATCTGACAGAAGTGTCAAATGGGCCGTGTTTAAAGTATTTAAGCTGTATAATATTTGCAACAAATACGATATTTCAGCAGTTTGAAAATTACAATGCTGATAATGAGGTTGTTAAATTATAGTTCTATCAGTTGGATAGTGAAACTGCTTTAGTTAGTGTACATTAATGTATGCTTGTTCACACAAGTGATTCTGCTGAACGAGTAACATGTTTGAACAAGAAATACTGGTCCTATACCCTGTGATTTATAGTAGGTGGTGTTTTGGCATATCATCCAGTTAACAAGGCAAAGCTTCATGTTAAAATATTTCGTTTGTAGTCTCATTCATCTCTGATATAAATATTCAGTAGTGATGCCAGAAAATGTATTGTATTCCTATTTGACTCAGTGGTTCAATTGCTTTCTTTTTTTCTGAAACAAGATCTATGGTATCTTTCTGATGCAGTTTTCAGATATTTCCCTGTGGTCAAGATGAATTCTGAGGGATTGTGTAGAAGTATGCTAGATGTCTTGACAGCTTCCATGTTCTCTCAAGCTAATACAAAAAGAAAAATGTTGTCCTTAGAGTAGCAAAGGCTTTGTTTGCGACTCTCTTTGCCAAGCTCCAAAACGGGTTCACATGTGCATAGGTTTGTTAGTTTATGTTGAAAAGAAGTCCCTACGGGACAGCCTCTTGTTGTAAAATAAAAATGCAGCTTCTCTTCCTTGTTGGTAATCA